GAGCCCCTGCCACATGGAGGGGTACGGGCAACAGCAAAAGAGGAGAAGGGGTGCAGACAGACACAGAGGTGCTGATGGCCTCCGCTGGCCTGCTCCCACCTGTCACTGGGAAGGCAGCCACAGCTTCACCCGTGCGGCCCCTTCGAGGACTGGGCGAGCACTCAGGTCCCCTCTGCACCTCCGTGAGTATGAGGTGGGTCTCTGCCTGTGGCCCAAGGACAGACAAGGCTTTGCCCCCTTGGGAGTCTGGTTTCAGTAGGGAGTGGTTGGAGGTCCCCCCAAAGCCCCGTGTCGGGACTTGTGCTGCTGTTGGCGTCGGTGGGAACTGAAACCTCTGTGCTGTCCCAGGCTGGAGCCTTCATGTACCAACGTCTGCAGGGCCACGGGGCAGTCTGTTGTGCCCACGAGGTCGGGAAAGAGGCAGGCAGGGCCACGGGGATCAGACCAGGACAAGGAGAAACACACGGCCCATGGTCCTCTCTGGGTGTCCCCTCGGCCAGGGTGCAGCCTCTCCAGATGGTGACCCTTGGCCTGACCCCCAAACCGTGAGCTGCATGGCTCTCCACTTTGTCAGCTCACCAGGCTCAGTCATGCCTGTGGGCTGGCCAGGACACCTCCCACCTACTATGGGCCGTCACCTCTGTCCCTGGGGCGAGAACCCAGTACTGTCTCTTGTGTCCCATCACGGCTGCCATCTGAGTGCAGGGGCAGCCATAAAAATGGCAGCTCCTGGGACCAGCAGGTGGCGTAATGGTTACGTCCCTGGATTCCCACATAGTTGACCACAGTTCGAGTCCTGGACGCAGCGACTTAAGACTCACACCGAGGGGCCAGCTGGTGGCATGGTGGTTAAAGGCTCTGGACTCCCACATGGCCGACCACAGTTCAAGTCCTGGACCTGGTGACATGCTTTCTCACTTTCCTTCTCACTCTCTTTCTCTCTGTCTCTCCCTGATCAAATAGGAAAAAAATAATAATTGTAAAGTAAAAAAATTCTTAAAAAAACACTTGTCAGATTTCGGAAAACATTTTCCATCTATCTCAAGGGGGGCATTTTGTGGAAAAAACATTCAGCGTTTTCTGTTCTAGAAACAATTTAACATTTTTTGGAAGATGTGTTTACTGGATATAAATTTTACACTAACTGAAAAAAACGCCTGGTGGTAACAGAAGCCCGAGAGGAGGTGAAATAGAGTTTAGCCTAGAAAAGCAACTCAAATAATTTGTTTTGGGGGCCAGGAAACAAAAACATATTTATTTCCTGGTCCCAGAAACACAGCAGTGCTTCCAGACCTAAGGAAGACGGATGACTGTTTGTGGAGCCACGTTGAAAAAGGAGAGGGGGGAAGTGTCGGGACTTACACGCACACGCACCCGCGCTGCGACGCCCCATGGCGGGCGGGCCTCGGGACGCACCTCGACATTTCTCACGGGGTTTCTGATTTTGTATCACAGGAAGCACGTGGGCTGTGCAGACGCCAGGACCGGCCAGGGCACGGGAGAGGGCGGGTCTCGGGAGGGCAACGAGGGTGCGCCCACAGGCTGCCTCTGCCTGCCGAGAAGGGCCTGCGTCGGGGCGCGCTCCTCCTTCCTGGGGAGACCGCGAACCACCTCTGGGGCAGCTGCGTGTGACAAACGGCGTCGCCGTGACACGAGCAGGTCGCGGCCATCCAAACGGGCTCTGTTCCTCGGGTGTCCTCGGACCTCTCTCCTCGCTCATTTTCTGTCTACTTCATCACGGCTATGTGCACACAGACAGGAAGTGGAGAGCTCAGTTTCCGAAATGTGCGTGGCTTCACGGTGCTGCACACCGAGGCCACTGTCTGAGCACCGTTTGTCTCAGCGGCAGCTGAAACGCGGACGTCTTTCCGAAGCGTCCGGACCGCTCTGAGCTTCCAGCTCCTCCTCCCAGAGGACACCTGACCGAGCACCGTCCTCACTGCTCTGCTCTCAATGTGTGAATAAAAAGCAGCGTGACCCTAACTTCGTGGACAGCCGATGCCGGCGAGATTTCCACTCTTCTTCGGTTTTTCAGAGAGGTTTTTGCTATAGGGCACGTGCGCTTGCCAGAGAGACAGAGAGAGACAAAAAGCAAGAAATCACTCCCCAGGGAGGATGGCCACGCACACCCCTTCTGCTCCATTCTCCTCCCAGGGTTTTGGGCACACACACACACACATGCCTGGCATGAGTTTCAGGTTGCCGGGTCCAGGACTTGAACCACAGCTGACTACGTGGGAGTCCAGGGCCGTAACCATTACGCCATTACACCACCTGCTGGTCCCTCACTCCTCTTCTTAATCTTCCATTCCCTGATGCAAAACACCCAGATTTCTTTTGGAAAACAGCGCAGTGTTAGCGCGGGAGTTCTGGACCCGCGACTTCTTACCACCTTACCCCTCCACGTGCCTCAGCATCCGCATCCGTCAAACTGACTCAGTAGTAACACCGCTTCCCAGGGACCAGACGGACACGTGTAGTAAGACACGTAGGAAGCAACTGACACGGGGCCTCGGGGAGACGACCATTTAACCGCACGGCCACGCTCACACCAGAGGTGGAAGGAACCGAACATCCCTGGGCACGGGAGTGGATCCACGCAGTAGGGCAGTATAGACTGGGGGGGGGGGGGGTTTGGTCCCGACAAAAAGGAAAACTCG